CTAAATCAAGCGTATTCACCCTTAATTTGAGAAGGTAAAATGAGATAGTTTGCCAATGGAATGAGTAATTTTAGTCTTAAGGTAAGATAATTAGATAATATGCACTTTAAATAAGACAATGCAATTGTGTTTTCTTATTCTAAGTGTAAATTGTCTTGTTCCATTGGCAGAATGTCTCTTTTACCTCCTCAATACAAGAACAAATGCACTTATTTTTAGAAAAAAATTACTTATCTAGATTTAGATTTTTTGCAGTTCATGGAGGTGAAAGTGTTTTATGGGATAGGACCTTACTAACTTACCATAATAGATGCCACCATGAATGCTCATGTGTATTTTGGGGCTTAAGAAAAAGGAGAGACCATTTATAAAAGAAAACTGAACCCTAATTGGTATGATAACATACCAATGTGAATTCCTACAAGAGATCTTCAAACTTGTGTGAGAGGAAGTAAGATCCTCACTAGAAGAAATTAGATTTCCATTCTATTTAAAAGGTGGACTTATCAACTTCTCTCAGCTTAAAAGGGCAAAGCAGACAGAAAACAACGAAAAGCCAAACTTCAGATTGGACATTTTTTATGTGACTTTACACAGTAAGTCAGGCAGCCTGTGGTATTTGATTATATGGGACAATGGTAACATATGCATGGAAAATCAGGACCCCTTTGCTTTTTCTAATCCAGTACAGTGGAAAAAAGGGAAAATATGAATGCTATAGCTGTGCAAATGTAGCTTTAGGTTTTTAATCTGAGTCTGTATAAACAGTGTACCTTAGGTGCATGGATGAGATTAATCTTTTAAACATTCCCACTGATGTAAAATGGAGAATGACACTGAACAGTTCAATATGTATGCAGGATGTATCATTGTACTGCACAGAATCTACCAAAATGCTCAGCTTTGAGTTATATGCATTCGCTTCACCATTCCCCGGGTCAGTGAAACGCTTCCCAGAGGAGCTAATCAGCGCCTCCACAATGTTCCCGCTGATAAGCGCCACCTCACTGGGGAGCCAATCAGGCTGGGGAACAGTTCAATTATGCTGACATGCAGAGAACAATGGCAATGCAAGCAGCAGGGAAGTCCATATGCACCGATTGAAAAACATAGGGATCATATTTTGAGTCTTTCTAGAAATAAAACAAGCAGAGCCTTTGCTGTATGGAAACCTGCATCTCCTAAATGCATTCTGATTCTTTTTTTTACAAAAGAAAGTTAATGGTCAGCTATACATTCTAGTAAACTGATTTTATTTTTTTATTACATACTCATAAAAAAGCAACTAAACCCATGTATTGATTAAATTTTTTTTCCAATATTTCAGAAAACATTTGATATGAAATAAGAATATTTAAGAAGTTTGTCAGCTAGTGTTTATTTATTAAACGTATGTAAAAAATACGCCCCACGAAAAATAATGTTTTACACACAAACAGTAAATTCCAAAAGTACAATTAGATATAAAATTTAGAAAACAGTTGCTTTGGCCTGAAATAGCTGACTCCTGTAATCTTAGTTATGTTTCTTAAAGATATAGCTGTCACTTTGTGTTTCTATACTGTAGGTGAATGATTTACTGTTGAAGACAAAAGGCTCCCTAATGTCAACTTTTCGTATTGTTCTAAGTGTATGAATCAATTACTGAGCAAAAAATTTGTAAAAGATTCCAAAGGGTATAACTCTGAAAGCTCTCCAGAAACAGTTATTTAAGCCTTTTGCACGGTATTGTACTTTATTAGCCTGGGTGCCAGTCCAAACTTAGTCCCGCCCACAAGGTTTGAGTTCGGGGAAGTTCGGTCTGGCTCTGCTCCATAGTAGCGCGAGTATTAAAGCCCACTGTCAGGCGATCCAATCAAATTGTCAGGGCGGGCTTTATACGATGATGGACAGATGATCAAGAGTAACGTTATCAACCACGTGACCAAAGCGCGCTGGGGTGACAACAATAATGGCTGCCGCTGGAGAGTTTGGGTGAGTAGATTCTGCTATTAGGTCTGTTCTAGAAGATATCGACAGCAAATTAATTTTAAAAGAGGAACAGAGAAACGCGATCAAGTCTCATCTTCTTATTCTAGGCGTGAAACTGCACGCTTTGATTTTTGTGGACAACAACTATGCCTCGCTTAAGATACGTCACGCACTCCGTTGCTCTTATTGGTTGTAGGTCTATCCAATTGAGTGCAGAGGCATTTTTTTCCTGGTTCGTTCAAAACACGCCCCATAATCACAGCTCTATGGAGCAGTATCAGACTCATATTCTGACTAGAATTGAGTCGGACTACGTCAGGCTAGGACTTTATAGCTCTAGACAGTTGTACTATGTACATTGTACCCATTTCAAAATCTTTAAAAAATAGGCCTCTGTATCTATTGTTCATTTGGTTTTCCCTTTACAAAATGTAGCCGACCAGAATACAAAAAAGAAAATGTTGGGATCTGGAGGTTTGTCCACTTTCTCCACCAGAGGGCGCACAAGATCTCCTGGAGCATGAGCCGACCGCACCACCTGTCTCTCATCTGCTCATCAGGAGATCCGTACTTAAGGAAGCGGAGGGCTTCACTCCAGTGCCAGAGTGTTTGCCAGTAACGGTTAGCAAGCCCGAGCCAACCTGCCTGTCTGTGATCTCTGACTTTCAGTAAACCAAACCTGATCCCGTTTTTCTCCTCTCTGCCTCCCAGGTTGATCCTGCCTGAATACCTGAAACTCTGGAGTTTCTCTGCCGGTGATCTGTCTGCTCGTTTTCAGTAGTAGAGCAGCCTCAGTCAAGTATCTGCCTGCCCGCTCTCAGAAGATTACTTGAAGGAAAACTCAATCAGATCAGTGATCTACCTGCACTCAGTAAGCTCTGCCTCCACCTCTGCCCTCAGCCTGCCGACAACCTCTGGACCCTCAAGGTTCCCCCCCTCTGCAGCTCTGCTCCATTTCCGAACAGGTACAGACCTGAACACTCTCAACCTGCAAAATACCTGGACCTCCACTAATCTCTCTGTCCTCCTCAGTAGTGAACCCACTCGTGACCAGTCAAGCCCCCTCTTGGATCTGAACATACTTTGTACATTTATTATTAATAAATCTTTGAACTTTTTCATCTGCCTCCGAGTGTTCTGCATGCACAGAAAATGGCAATTTAATTTTTGTTGAATATTTGTGTCTTTATTTTGTTGTGTTTTTCTTTCACTATTAAAAGGAGCTAAATTACATTTTGAAATTATTTGTTTCTTTTTCTATTTCAGATTGCATGATTTAAATAGCATGAATTAACAGTCCATGCCATATCAAGGAACTTGAACAGACACAATTCAATCAACTAATACAGGTTCGTCAAAAGTTTTGTTTGAAATGAAAACCAGCCGATTGCATCCAGAATTAGCAGAATACACTCTTCCTGGATGAGCATGTTTTTGTCAGTGTTCAAAGGCAAGATGTTCAAAGTTTAGATGCATTTAGGTTTTATGTCATATGAAATAAAACTACTTTGAGCTGATATGTAGAAAAATATCTATAGAACCTTATTTAGATATGAATAAGTGTCCAGATTAGATGAACAAGCAATTCATTGTAATGAATTCCCACATCCCCTTTGATACTGAAAAAGAGAAGCACTGCTTAGTATTTTATTTTTAGTTTTTGTATTTTAAATAACCATGTGTTGTTTTCATATGTTATCTAATACCCATATCTAAAAAGGAAATCAAACTAGCTACACTGATTGAAAGCACATAGTTCCTCTGGAAAATCTTTTCTTGTGCATATCTGACATATGAAAGTTTCTAGTCCACAGCTACAGTTTTAGAGGAACTTTTGACTAAAATCAACTGGTATTGGTTTTACCGCTGATGAAGAGAAACCTGCAAATAATCCTAAACACGACAATACCATCTTTTGGCACAGGAAGGTTACTACTAGTGTGGTACCAACCAGCCAGAAAGGACAGGTCAGGTTACATTATTAGTTGATATTTTGCACAAGTTTATATATTTTTATTGGATAAAATATTAAGAGGGTTCCTCACCTGTGCTTGCATCCTATTACAGAGGGTTGCCTCATAGTTCTGCCTGTGTACAACTTTTTCTTGTCCGTGTTGGTGTTCTTTTGCATAATTTTGCATAAACTGAGTCAAATAGTTGAATTTAAATTATTATATTTTAAATAAAAAGAAAGCTTGGATTAGTCTATTGCAAAGAGATATTCTGGACATAATTTTATGTTAATTGTTTTTCATATCATTAATTACCTTCGACATGGATTTTTATGTTTTTAGGAGTGTCTGTGTTTATTTGTCTGTGTACTTTTTTAAACAAAATTTTCACCAGAGGTGCGCCTCGTGCAAAGGAACAATTCATTAAAGTTCTAAATTGATCCAGATCATGTGCAAGTTTTAGCTTTAGGGTTAAATCAAAATATGGGGGGAAACTGGCTGCTTGGCAGAGGCCTGTGCTCTCAGACTGCTTTTCTGGTATGTAATAAAATACACTATTACTTGTAAATACTTGTTTAATTTAGGGGACCCAAATGCATTGACAGAAGCGGAGGTGGTTTCTTGCAGATTTAAAAACCAAAAGTAGGTAACTGAAGCAAAAATACAAAAATAACACAATACAGAAAATCAGAAACCAGAAGATGTCAGGGAAAATCCACATAAGGAGCAAAGAAACAACGAGAAACCAGCAAACAGTAACTTAAGAGGAGAATATATGCCAAACAGAGCAAAGACTGGGGTAATCAACTGATTGGGAGCAGGTGTGGATAGAAGAATGTAGAAGGGAGCAAGGGGAAGGAGAATGACACAAGACGGCAACAGAGGGTAAACAAGAAATACACAAGATCTCAAATACAACCAGAAAACAACAAAAAAATCGAAATGAAACAAAGAAAACTCAAAAAATTTTTTTTAAATAGATCTAAAAAGTGCAAAAATTATGACAGTTGGGAGACCATAGACTATTGCCATTTTTTTTATTATTACTAGATGGTACCAGTTATTCAGGCTTACTGAATGGGTTAGTATATGTTTCTTTGGGGCATTTTTTTTTTTTATTATTCTGTGTAGTTCATCCCATTTGGATTAAATGTGCCAAATTGGACTGTATGGGAATGAAAAGAAAGATAAGAAAGATAATTTAGAAGAACATTTTTATTTAAAATTGTTATTCTCCTACCTTTTGTTGTCCTTTTAGCAGCAGAAGAAATTTGTCAGCCAATATGTCATGGTGATTTTAAAACAATAAATAGATTACAAAAAACAAAAAAAGTATTAAAATATTTCGAACCCAAAATGTGAAAATGCTGCACATGCTGGTAAAACAGGAAACCTGTGAAATCAAGGGGTTTTCCTGACCAAATACAATCAGATTATCCCTGCTTAGTAAAAAAACCCCAAATGGTAACATGATGAGTGACAGGGATTCACAGGACTTTGGCTGAAGATATTATGCTGGATAAACAAAGATGCTTAACACAAGGTAAATAACCTGTACTTACAGTAACTTATACAGCGCTTTTTCTAGTCAGGAGACTTAACCAAAGCGCTTTACACTACATTCAGTCATTCACACACACACAAAGCACGGATAGTGGCAAACTACATTGTAGCCACAGCTGCCCTGGGGCTCACTGACAGAAACGAGGCTGCTGTACACTGGCGCCACTGGGCCCTCTGACCACCATCAGTGGGCAATGCAGGTGCCCATGGACACAACAACACTGGAAGCCAGAACAGGGGTTTGAACCGACAGCCCTCCGATTAAAGGGCATAGCGAGATCTTAACCAAATCTAAATAAACAGGAATAGATACATTCATATCTGATATTTTTTCTGGGATAAATATCTCATGTGTTCAGAAAACAACATCAGCACCCTTTTAAGAATTTATTTCTCACAGCTGTCTT